GTAGGTGCTGTTTCGATTGTTCTCGGAGGCGGATATCCTGAAGACAAAGATAATGGTGAAGAGTTCACATATACTGGCAGTGGTGGGAGAGATTTGAAAACTGGTAATAAACGAACTGCTGAGCAATCAAGTGATCAAGAACTTACAAAACAAAATGAAGCGCTTGCATTAACATGTGACGCACCAATTAATAAAAATGAAGGTGCTGAAGCAAAAGATTGGACAAAAAGTAAACCAATTAGAGTTTGTCGTACAGATAAATTGAAAAAACATAATCCACAATATGCACCTGATGAAGGAGTTCGTTATGATGGAATCTACAAAGTAGTCAAGGTAAAGTGGTAATTTTAATTTATATATACATAGTCAACTCCGTAAATCCGAAAAACGAACTTTTTTAAAAGCACAAAGCCAAATTATATGTCCGTTAAACCGTAGCCTTTTACCTAGACCCCGTTAAACCGTTTTTTTTTTTTTAGATTTTTTTGAAACCACTTCTATTTAAATTACCCAATAATTATTTTACAATATACTGATTTGAAGTGCCTCAATAATCTGAAGATATTCCTTTGATTTCTTTTGTAAATATACAGATGCTCATGATTTAGATTCCTTTAAGGAAGCATTCCAAAAGTCCAAAAGATATCCTTACACTATGAGTGACTTAGAATATTTATCTGAAAAAACTAGTTTGTTTTTATTAAACTATTTTCAACAGATATATAAAAACCTTGGTCTTCTTGGTGGTTCTGTCAAAATAGGAGAAAAGAGAAAACGAAAATCAAAAATTAATCAATATAAACTTGCATCTCTTGAACTAGAAGTAGATTTAATGTGTCTTCCCATTGGTTTTAGCACAGGATCTCCCCCCAAAATGGTATATGTGATCATCTAAACTGTTATAGTATCTTAAAAAATGGTTGCAATCATTGTGAGCAATATTACAAAAAAGCAATATATAAAAATGTTGATTCCTTTTTAATGAGATTAGAAAAAGGAAAAGAGGAACTTACAGAAGAAGATATAGAAAATCCAAATGCTGAAGAG